CTAACATCTTTCTTGCTGCATAACGTAATTCACTAATAATGAAACATCTTGCAAGAGCAGTATCTGCATGCAGCTTCTGCAATACAACAGCACATACATACATACATATATATGCACACACACACATACACTGTTCAAATTTACTCTTAAGTTATACCTACACACTTAAAAACTACAATTTAATTCTGCCTATACYGATAGCAAGAAGCATAACAAATCCACGAACCAGGTTCTCAGGCCTGTTGAACGATGCTTCAGGAAAATACCCAATTAATTTCACAGTTGCAGGGGCTTGTTTTAACAATATCTGGCATACGGAAAAGTATTATATTAACTGGTAAACTAAACCTTAAAAATTTATGGTATTACCTGTGTGAGACATGATCCATTTTACCAACACAAAGAAAGAAGAACAAGCATGATGGAGAATATCTGTAATTATTTCACCAGCAGACCTCTATCTGACTTTAGTATCATTGAAGCCACATTTCACTAAGCAGACTAATTAAAAGTCTAAGTAAATTACTGATTTGCAAGTAGTAACATATATCCTGTTCATAACTTACAGATTTATTCCCAAAAAGCTAATATAGTTACATGAATAATATTCAAAGACTGCACAGAAAAAAAAAGAAGTTTTGAATAAGTGTGGTTTAAACCTTAKCTTGTTGCATCCTACAGCTCAAATTATTTTAGAGGAGGAGCTCACCAGCCTAGAAATCAATCTGTAAGACCCACGCCTGCACTGCTGATGTCTTAAGAGTAGAAGAAACGTGGCAGCCATTTAACGAGCTCTCTGGCGAGCTAAGCTGAACGACAGCCTGGAGAAAACAGTTAGTTGAAACGGTGAAGAACGCCCGTTGCTCAAGATGAGCCACTTCCCCTTCCTTCAGCAGGTATCCAAGTGGAAGCGCTCACCGTCTCCCAGGCACCCTCTCTCTCTCTCCCCCCATCGCATGTGCAAAATAACACATCTTGCTTTTATGCCTTGGGAAAAACACAGTAAGAGAAAGGAAAAGTAAGGCTGCCCTCATTTCATCGCTTTGCATGTGAACACTTCTATAACCAAACTATGATGGCAGCCAATTTCTTCTGCACRCTGAGAGTCTTAAAGAACAGGGAAAATAGTCTTTTTTCCTCCTCTTCCTGCCTCCCCCCTCCAATTTGGTTACTAAATGAGAAAATTCTGGTCTTTCCAGAACTGAAACACCAAGGACAATGCCTCAGCTCGCAGACCCCAAACACGTACATTGAAGGCTTGACACTGCCACCTTCACGAAGGTCCCCGATTTTGCCATTTTCCTGCTCACCTCGATTATACTGAGCTAAGCTTCAAACGAGTAACACGCCATATGAACGAACAACACCACGTTTTTCCCCACGAAGAGAGTCAAACACCGTTACAGGTTGCCCATAAAGGCAGTGCAGGCCCCGTCCCCGGAGGTTTCCGAGCCCACAGCAACCCCAAGCAGCCTGCTCTGAAGCCCCAGCTGCCCCTGCCGTGAGCGGGAAGCTGGACTCAACATCTCCAGAGGTCCCTCCCTCCCCAAGATACCGCACGATCCTGAGGTTTAAGGTTTTCCAGGCAATCCTGAAAGATTACTTATTTGCTCGCTTTTTTCCTCCTCCTCCTGAGGAAGGAATCGCACAAGGCTTGGTTCTGTTTATTACTACTTCAAAGAAGGGAACAAAGGCTATTGGGCCCGAGTTTTCCTGGAGAAGGCGATGGAGCRGTTTCAGCGGAGCCGAACCGCCCAGGCCCCGGCAGGTCCATCYTCCTGCAGCCAACCACGTCCCTGCTCAGCACGAGGCCACATCAACCCCTTCACCGGGAGAGGCTGGGCAGGACGGGCAGATGACAGGGAGCACTTTGCAGGGGATATTACCCTTTCAGGTACATTTGCTTTGCAAAACCACTCCCTACCCATGCGGTGGGAGCAGCACTCCCTACCTGCCCACGTGAAGCCAGCTCTGCCAGCCAGGCACAGTGTAAAACTGAGCCTACCCATACCCCGGGCATCGCAGATACTCAGGACGAGTCTGAAGCAGGTAGACGTTCTCACGTGTCTACGACCAGTAACAGCTGCTACTCAAAACAGGGGGCAAGAGGGAAGCAAGACGCGGGAGGACGGACCTCGCCGGGGTGCAAGCACCAGCTGTGCTGCTGCCCGAGCTCCTCATGCAAAGCGTGGTGCAAAGGGAAGGGGCACCCGAGCGAGCCCGTGCTAACGGAGGGGCTTGCTCAGAACGATGCTCCACGGCGGCTCTGGGGCTGTCCCTCTACAGGAAGGGTAATCCTTGGCGAGAGGAAATAGCAGCTTGAACCACTGCAGACAGCCCAGGTCACCATCCCCTGGGAACACAAATCAACCTGTATTTATCTGCCTCAAGGACAAGTCTCCAGAAGAAAGGGGTGAGGATAACCAAGGAAGCTGCCGTGCAGCAAGGATGCCCTGAGCCCATGGGACTCCTGCRCAGGAGACACAGTCCTGCACCCGAAGGAACTGGCATCTCCAAGTACTGCACAGCCTCAGCACAGCACTAGGACAGGGCTGCATATTCTGGCTAGATCGCAGCACACACTTCCAACAAGGCATTTTCTAACCATTTGTTATCCATTTCCATGCCAATGGACAGCATTGGTCCCAACTCATTGTTATATCCTGGTACTTCTTAACAAGCAAGAGTAGAAAAGAGTCTATGGAACGACCACAAGCTTCAGGTGACACCAGRTACTGCCACGTGCTAAGGACTGCAAGAAAAGTGTCTCTATGTCCCAATTGTGGCATACATGAATTAACGGGGAAGTGTTAATACAGATTGGGACTTCTGGCAAGGAAAAAAGCTCAGAATAAAAGAGTTTTTCAACAATTCCAGCTTCTCTAAGATTCCTCTGCTGCAAGAAATAATTGTAAAACTCAAATCGTAAAGTAGAAATATCTAGATCCTATCACACACACAAAAAGCCTATATAATGCACCTATTATAGGAAAAAAAAGCCTTTCCAATGAATTAGAAAGCCAAATTCCAAATGGTATGTTATCATCATCCACAACTTGCTGGAAAACCTAAGGAATGCAGTTGGTTGGTGGGGTTGATATCCTGACCAATGAAGTCAGAAAACTGAAATCCCAGGCCTGTGTCAGCATCTATTCACAGATGCTGTGAACACTGCGGTGTGTTCTACAAACCTGTCCTAAAACAAGAAAAAATGACAATTCAAGTTAAAATCAAACAGGGAGAAAACGCTCAACAGGATGGACTGTTTTGAACCACCAATTTTAATCATGACTTAAATCAGCCAGCAGGAAGCCTCCATTTAATCTATTTTGACCTTATTTTGTATCCAGACTTTATTCAGAAGGCCTGGTCTCACTGGCTACTGAAACATCTCAATTGGCAACCACATTAGTGATCATGTCAGCTGGATTCCTGTTCCTAAAGAGGAGGCTGCTACACACTTAAGCTGTGCTAACTGCTTCAAGATAATGTGCATAATAACTTTCTTCCACATTCTTAATCTTTGTTTCTTTTATGAGGAAACAGTAGATCACGTGTTTCTTAAACACTGTGTCCCAAAATATCTTCATATTTTAAGCCGCACTTAGAAACTACAATTCAGCTTTATTCACACCGTTTTAAAGCTCTTCAATGAAMGCAGCATAAAACTGAGGATAAAAGACGATTTCATCGGGTCTTTTGAATTTAAGGATGATTTACTAAAGCCCTGTCAATGCAACAAACTGATTTCTGGCCAAAAGGAGCTACGTTTTTGGAGACTCCASCACCGCTGAAGCGCGCTCAAGCCAAGCCAGGCTGGCAGCTAAGCGGTGCTGCCGAGGAGCGGTCCTGCTCCTCCTGCCGACACACACGCGCCCGTCCGACCCTCCCCAGAGGTGATTCCGAACGCTGACCCTGGCAACTAGCCACCGCGCAAGAAGCTCTTCACTCTCGGGTGGCTCAGCGAGCTGCAGGGGAAGCCCAGCGAGCAGAACCTTCCCTTTGGGTAGTTCGGAGCTGCCAGGCCACCCGTCCCCCTCTCTGCCCATAGTTTAAGTCATCTGGACATCTAAACCAGGCTGTGCCAGGCTCAACCAGGGCTCTTAGACCATTACTGTGTCACCCCACTCCCAGTCAAACATGACCGTCCACTTGCCCACGCGCCAGCCGGGGTATCTGCCTTCTCTTTAGGGAGTTAATTAAAAGAAAACCACTAATTTTTTTCCCCATTGGTTTTGCCATTTAGTACCCCAGAAAGCACYAGTTGCAACATGGTTGGAGCATTAGGGAACAAAATTAAGTAATCACAGAATTTCAGCACTCTGAAAATTACAACAGGTACTTCACTGCATGTCTTTTCAGCACAAAAACGTGACTGCACCTCTTTGGGTTTTTGGAATCCGTAGATCTCATCCCCACTTACATTTTATTTGTACATTCTAAGGGATGAATTATAAACAAAAACCCATTCTCTTTCAATTACTAGTCAAGCTTCTAAGTCAAAAATCTTTTCTTCTCTGTAAACATTAAAATATTTGTATTTGGAAAAAAATATGTACGTATCAGCATTTGCTACACCACAAAGACTGAATAAGCAGCTTAGAGCGTGATTTTGTAACACTCACAAAGCTCGAGCTGATCTTAAGTTAGGGATGTTTTCTTTCTGATTATGGCTAGGAAAATATATTTTAATGYGTTGGAACATTAGGACTCAGACTGATAATGCAAGCAAGCTGCAGAGTAAATCGAAACCCTCACTGGGTTTATTAATCCCAAACTTAAAAATATTTAATATAAATTCAACAGTGAAGTTTTTTTTTCCTTTTTTTTTTTTTTTTGTCTACGATTTATTCAACTGGTTGAATTTCTACAAAAGTGAAACAGCATTTTTTCGATAAATTAGTTTCACTTTCTGGATTCATTTTACTTAACAGGCTCAGAGTTCCTGTTTGAGGAGCTTTCCTGTCAAATTTGAAAACTTTTGTATTTACRTAGCTTACGTTTCAAGTTTTACGGCCCTGGCACCAAGGCCTTGCAGCCTGTCTACGAGGGAGCAGCTCGGGCTTCCTGCTTGTTCAGGGATGGGCTCCTGGGAGCAGCTCCTTAGGGACCCGCACGAGGTTCTTCCATGGGGAASGGAGGGCAGGAGGAGAGCAGCCTCTCTGCTTCCCACCCGTGCCTGCAGMCCCCACGGCGCTGCCGAGGTGCCGCGGCCCACGGCTGAGCTGGAGCTGCTGCCGCTCCAGGAGAGCGGCGCGCCTCGCTCACCGCCACCAGCCTGTCCTGCCAAGCGGGCACTTCCCACCGGGGCAACGCCGGGCTAAGCAGACGTCCCATCCTCTGTGCTGCTGCCAGAGCCGTCCAGGGACGCGGCTCCTCGTCTAACCCACGCCAAGCGAGGCGGCGCTTCGGAAGCCCGGCCGCTGGGCACGCAGCCCCAGGGACACGCGCAACCCCGGCCCGTCACCGCAGGTGTCCGGAGCCCCCGCGCCGCTCCCGCCGCGACGGCTCCGCGGGGTCCCCGGCAGGGCACCCGGAGCAGCCCCGTCCCCGGCAGCACACCGGACGGGGCGGCCCCGAGAGCGGCCCCCGCCGGCAACACGGCAAGGCAGAGCGCGCCCCCCGGCCCCAAACCCACCAGGGCTCCCGGGTTTGTTTTTTCAGACGGGAAATTAATGGCGGGGAGACCCGGGACTGCCTCTGCCCCTCGGGATAACTGCAGGAAAGGGACAGTTCCTTTTAAGATTAGGTTAGGGCGTTTGGTACCAGCAACAGGAAGAAGGCTCCCCTGAAGTTTTGCAAGGGAAAGATGAGAGGAATTTATGTAAAAATTCACGCAAATCCACTAATTTCAAGGGAGGAGGAAAAACTTCATCCCTAAAATCCTGTAACACAGACACCCACGGCTCCTTCCCAAGCTCCGCACGCTGGGCGAGAAGGAACGCCTGTCCCACAGAAGGCATACATATTTTTTATTTATTTTTACTAGCATCCCTTCGAATAAGCATTTCCAATTCCTCCGTCAGCACTGCCCAAGCAGCAAATCAGCCAAGCGCAGGGATTTCACGATGGTTTAAGGCGAACTCGGTGCAGCGCCTGTTTATGTGCCCCGGCGCGTCGCACGGGACGGCCGCCCACCCCATCCCACCTGCGGAGGGGCGGGGGGCACAGCCGGCACCTCGGGACCACACTCGGGGCACCCCCGGGGGAAAGGGGGGGACAGGGACCCCCCAGCGCTCCCCRGAGCGCCCCACCAAGTGCCTGGGCCGCGGGGGGCCGGGAGCCGCCCCGCTCGGCCCGAACGAGGGGCTGGTTGTCGGCACGCACCCCAGGACGGGGGTCTGGGGGGGGGG